TAACTTATGTTCTGTTTAGAAGCAAAACCAGGCGAGTTTTTCCAGTTTGGTTGGCAAATATAAAGGTTTCCTTATATTTGATTTTACATCAACCTAAACAGAACATCTGTTGTTAAATTTTTGTGTGAATCCAACAAAACAGGAGATTTTATGGATTATTTTTTAGCTTTTATTGTTCATAATTGGTTCCAAACAGTAATTCAGGTATCTGATTCTACAGAGGAGTGCCTCGTTTTGTGAATCTCCTCCTGAAACGCTCCCCTGCTGATGGCAGGTGGATTCCAGCTGAGAGGACCTCTCCGGTGGAGGAGATGCCCGTCTCCATCAGCCACTCAAGCCGCGCTCTGCGCAGCGAAAGCAACTTCAAAAGGCAAAGATGAAAGCGCCAAAGGTTGCGCGATGCCAAAAGACCAGAACACGCTCTGCATATTCTGATTTTCCTATCGATCTGCCTACCGTTGGATCATTTGTGATAAAAGACGGGAAGGGGGTGTCTTAAATGATTAGCTGATGAATTTGATGATGTGCTGTGAACAATTAGAAATGCAAAGAAAAAGAAGAGAGAGTGAGAGCTCGTGTAGAGATGGGCAAAGAGGGAATCCTCTGGAGTACATCGCTATCATTAGGGGAGAAATTTCAACCTTCCTCTGCTTTTACATTTTACATCTGTTAGATTCCGACTCTCCGACTTCACAGGCAACTAATAGGGAGGTCAAAGGTGGGAGATGGATGTGATGAAACATTCCTGCAACCCCAGAGTGGTGGAGAGGCTGAATTAGGAAACGGAGAGAGGAAATTTACATTCATTAGAGCACGCTTCGTAGAGGGAGACGTGGAAAAAAAAAGGTGTGGAAGAAAGAGACTTTTTCATGCAAAACATTTCTGAAGGTTCTCAGATGGAGAAAGGTGGAGCGGTCCCTCTGGGTTTGGAGGGGGGAAGGTGCCGTCTCAAGTGGACGGTTAAAGGATCCCAGCGTCTTGGACTGGAGATGGAAAGACGAATAATGACTTGAACTGCAGTGATGGTGGTGATGCTTCACTCTGGGAAAGTTTTCATTACTGTCAATACAGACATGGAGAAGGAAACCATACGGATGGATGGTTTAATGGATGGTTAAATGGTTGGATGTGAGTTGAGTCCAGTCTTGTGTTTCTGTCTCAGACTGAGTCTTCAGAGGACATCTTGACGTCCTGCAGGGTGTCTCCTCTGCTCCATCAGCTGCTTGGCTCCGCCCTCTCTCCTCCCTGAGCTACTTGGCTCCGCCCCTTCTCCTCTCTCATCCTCCATCTAGCTCGGCCCTCTCTGATGCTGACTGGCCGTGATGTGTGGCGGCGCTGGGAGCTCGTAGAACATGCAAAAGGCAGGAAAAACAACAAGCAGGCGTGTAGTAGTAATTCATACCAGAGTCATGCCGCCATATGCCCCGTCCAGATTGGTGGTGTGTTTTGGACAGCTGAGCTCTGATGATTCACTGCCCGGCCGCGCTTAGACCAAAGCTAAGTGTACGTTTTGCCTCAGGCTACTCTGCTGCCTCCACTGATTATCTAAGCAGTGAAACCGACCCGCTTTAAAAACACTCATCTGTAATTTTCTTACTCATCTTCTCCAGCTTTGGTGTTTCACCTGCATCCCTTCGTCCTCGAAAGGAGAAAAATCCACATTTCTGCTAATTTGTTGGGAAAATGAGAAGTGTTGCAGAATGGAAAAATGGAGGAAGTTCGTACAGAATGAAAAAAGAAGGGAAAGTAAGAGTGATAGAGAATGACAGAACACGGCGGAGGCCAGCAGATGAAAATAGGTTTGAGGTTTTGTTGAAAAAAAGACACTTTTTTTCCATCGTAAACTCAGGCTGGGCTCTGCTGGAGAACAGATTAGTGCCTGAAATAAACCAACGGCTTTGAATCAGGTGAAGAAAGAACCAGGCGGCACAGAAAAGAAAGGAAACCAGGTGCCTTCAACCAATAAAGCTCAAATTCCCTCCATAAGTTGTTCAGTTTTGGAATAGCTTCTTTAGCTGGAAGCTCAAATAACACCTGACCTTTGACCCCAAGTCTCAGAGGAGTTGAAAAGGAGGAATGATGGATGCAGATCGGTACCAATCAGGAAATATAAACCACCTCTTCCATCAATCATAACAGGCAAAGGTCATATCCCCTACTCCAACATCTTTCTGCTACACAGAGTGGCAAAAGCAAATGAGGTGGATTTGATTAGCTTCTCTAAAGTTAAAATAACATCTGAACTTTGACCCCAAATCCAAGAATAGTTAAAAGGAGAAATCAGGGAAGCAGAGAGAGGAGGAGAGAGTTTAAACCATCTCTGCCAGCAATCATAACAGGCAACGGATTATATCCCCTACTCCAACATCTTTCTGCCAGAGTGGCAAAAGCAAGTTAAATGGATTTGATTCACATCTCAAAAGCTCAAATAACATCTGAACTTTTACCCGGAATAGTTGGAAAAGGGGGAATCTTGGATGTAGAACAGGACCAGCCAGAAAGTTCAACCCATCTCTTCCATCAGTCATGATGTGTGAGGATAATGTACCCTACTCCAACATCTCTCTGCGAGACAAATATTTAAACAGCAGTAGCAAAAGCAAATGAGGTGGATTAGCAGTTTTCACCAACTACTGCCCAGATTTTGAGTGGGTAGCATGTCATACAGAATCATACAGCAATTATCTTCAGTCAGAAGCATCTTCAGCTGTGTTGCAAGACTGACTGCTACAGGAAAGTGTCACCATTCACTGAAGTTGTGACATTTTATTTTCCTTTTACAGCCATGTGGGTCAGTTAGTAGTTGAATGAAGAAGAAGGAATCCATGATGGACAAAAGAAGATCTTCATGAAAGCTGGTTCCTGATTAAAGCTAAGAGCTTTTAGGTGCTAGCATCAGGTTTATGTGGGGTCTTTGTTTCTCCATCTGATGGGTGTGAACAAGGAGAAAGCAGAGGAGACTCTCACATTCGACCTCATTAAATTATTCACGTGTGCAGGCCGGTCCGTTGGCGGGGGGGCTGGTGAAGGACGAGGCTGGGTGAAGAGTGGAGGAGGCAGAGATCGCTCTCGTCTGACCTGGCACTGGCTGGGAGAAAGTTCAATGACACGCAAGGAGGAAGAAAGTGCAACTGACCAGCAGGGATTAGCCAATCAGAGCGTCAGAAGAGCAGCCAGCTGTTGGTTCTGGCTGGACTGGAAAGAGGCTCGGAGCAGGTGGTGCAGCCCGGTGCCAGCGGTGCTACGAGGGCAAGGAGAACACCATAAAATACACTTAATGTGGGTGTTTTACTGCTGCACTCAAGCATTGTTTCTCAATTTTTAGCGTATTTTATAGAGATTTGAGGTGCTTAATGGTGAAGAGGAACAAAAAGAGCCGGCGTCGTCGACCCTCAAGGTTCTGTAAAGGCCTCAGAGGATTGTTGAGAACGTTGGACAACATGGAGGTCAAGGAGCGATGCAGATGGGTCAGGGAGGAAGTTGTAGCTGCAGTGATCCCAGTGGTGGGCACCGCTAGCTAAAATGTTAACCTTGCTAACCCTTAAGCACCAGTCATAAACATTAGTTCTGCTGAAAGTAACACTCTAGACTAACGTGGTATGTAGAAGCTAAGGTTAAATCGCTACACCAACACAATAATTAGCAGACGTTAATGTTGAAGTGCTATATTAGCATAGTATTTATCAGAAGATGATGCTAAATTGCTACACCAATGCAGTATTTAGCAAGAGGCATTACTAAAGTGCTACACCAACATGGTATTTAGCAGAAGCTAATGCTAAAGAACAATACCAACAAGGTATTTAGTGGATGCTAATGCTAAAGTGCTATACCAAGAGTTTGAAACTTTAATCTGCAAAGATTTTTCTCAAAGCACTGAAAAGCATGACTTATTTTCCTCCTTCCTCTCAGTTTTGTGCCACTTCTCTCACATGAAGTCCTAATTAAAACCTTGCAGTTTGTGTTTGTAACGTTTTGCTGCGCGCCTTGCCAGGAAACATCTCTAAAGAAAGTACCTGCTGCTTCTCCAACATGGCTCAGGCCTCTTTCACAGATTGTTTCCTACATTTTCCCTGTAAGCAGGATTTCTGGAGGCGAGACGGTGTGAGAAACGTCTCCGTCTCCTCCCGGGAATACGGCAGCTGCACAGCACCACAAAGACAACAATGCGCTCCCTGTCGAAGGGGGAACGAAGGCGGGGGCTTGCTACACCTTGGTGGTGTTGGACAGCTCTGTAAGCACCCCCGCGTGGATTTTTATTAATTTACATTTATGGTTTTATGAGCTTGCTGTCACTGAAACACCCCGTTTGGCAACAGCTAACCGGACTCCTGCTGAGATCTGGGACTCTGCTGCTGGAAATATCCTCCCAAAGGGAAGTTTAGCTGTTCACTGAGAAAAGTGACAAACAGGAAGCTAGAAAAAAGGTCAAAGAGAGGCTGGTTTTCCTTTAAAATGAGATGCTTTCCTAGAAAAAGGAAGAAGAAGAAGCCACCTGCTAGCCTCTTTGTCAACACTAATCATCTCAAAAAAGGTTTCTTATTCATGTTGTGAACTTGGAGGCACCTCCATGTGGTTCAGTCCAGGAGAATTGAGTAAAAGGAACAGACTGAATATACCACTCCATACCAGTAGGTGGCGGTAATGGTTAACTATTTTCTCCCCCTTTCTCCTCCAAGCTGAAGAAGATAAAGAGGAAGAAGGAGAGTGGATTTGCTTTCCCGCGTTGAATTTATGTTTCTGGTGAGAACATAAAGTTTGAAATCATAAAGTTTTGCTCTGAAGTGATCGTTAAACTGTCTTTAAATACTGAAAACCTCGGTACTTCACTAAAGCTAGCGAACTGTGTAAAGCACATGCTGTAAAGCGACAGGCTTCAAAATAAGAGCTTTTTCGTTCTCCTCAAAATAACTCCGTCTGGCCCTGTAATCGTCCATCCTGTAAGCAGTAAATTAATAATTAGTTATTTTGCAGTAGTTTATAAAGGTGGTTCAGTGTAACGTTCCTTCACAAACACCGGTATATTGTTTTAATAAAGTAGCATGGCAGACTTCCGGTATGCTAAAATGACATCTGCTCAGCAGTGAACTCAGCTGCTCGAACAAGATCCTCGTTTCACTCTTCAATTTTTTCTATACTTTCGAAGTCCTACCATGGATAAATACACTACTTTTGTGTGAGTAAAATATTTTAGTTCCTATTTTTTTACCCCTAAAACAGGAAGTGTTTGCCAACGTGGCCCACTTCGTAGTTTTCATTGGGTCGATCTTTGTAATTTTTGTTAAAAAATTTCTAAAATGTTATTTATTTTTCTTTAATTTGTTTTTTTTTTTATTTACTCGTTATTTTTTTTTTTTTAAAATTTAATTAAAATATTGAAATAATTTTTGTAATTTTTTATTTTTTCTATAAAACAATTTCAGTTTTCAAAATTGTTTTTCTACTTTTATTCAATTTTTTAAAATTACCTTTCTAAATATCTAGTTTATTTGTTTTTTAATGTATCCTTGTCATATTTTTAAAAAGCAGAGATTCATTATAATTTTGTCCTTTTCAGAGGTGAGACTAGCTGCCTGTTGTCTGTCTTCAGTGTCAAGAGATCCAGCTGAGTCGGGTAAGAAGAAATCTTCCACTGTTACTTCCATCTCAGATCAGATGTTTACATACCCTGAATTAATAATAATAATAATAGATTTTATTTATAATGCCCTTTGTATCTCGAGATCTCAAAGGGCTACAAAAACAAAATGATTAAATAAGAGGATATTTTAATACCTTTTTTAAATTAAAGGATATTAAACTCTTTTCATCCCAGAAGTTAAAATCAAATCTTTCCTAGTTTTTAGATCAGGTGGTGTTACTACAATTATTTCTACTTACTAAATACCAGAATAATAGTTCAGAAGTTTACATACACTGCCTCTGTATTTGGTTTAACTTTGGTCAAATGTTTCTACATGTTTCTTGCATCTGTTTCGTGAAGCGCACCAGTCCCTCCTGCAGCATGTGTGTAAATGTCACCCATGTCTATAAATATGAAAGTTTTTCTCTCTAGCTGCATTTGCAGACTGTTTATGCTGCTTTTGGAGGAACATCAGGTTCCTTTGATTGGCTATCGGATCAGAAGTTTCTGGAATTGTTCGATTAAAGCGGCAGCCGGCACGTCACGTGTCCCACAGCACTCAAAGGAAATGATCTGTCCGTCTGTCCGGCGCTTGTCTCCCCTTCAAGGGAAGAGTGATTATGTGTTTTGCCAACGCGTTTGTGGAAATCTTTTGATATGCACAAACACAGATCCTGATGCAGCGGCGGCAGCGGCTTTTTCCTGGCTGACGGCTGATTAGGATGCCGGATCATGGCTGGATATGCGAGGCCCCAGCTGGGTGCAGGGAACATCGCTCATTACACGTTTTCTAGAGAGAGTGGAGGACTGACTCAGAGCTGCTCAGCATGCCGGTGAAGGTGTAATCATATCATTCTGAATCAGCGGTCAGTTAGCCGGCTGGAGTCTGATTAAAGCCCGGCTAAAGACGGAGCGACACGTCGAGAAAAGCAGCGCTAACCGTCAAGGTGCGAAGCTCAGAGACCCTCAGAGACCCTCAGAGAGCCGCAGCTCCTGCTAAATGAGCGCTTTCTTCTGCATGCATGTTTTATGAAGCTGGTGGATGGCTGCCTGGGCGTTCCCATTGCTGAGATCGCCACTGTCCTCTTGATTTAATTAGACGTTGGCCCCCACGATTTTCGACAAGGAAATATCTGCTCTAATTAAGCGGCGTACTTCACCAGAGGAAGAACAGGCTGGCTTTAATGTGCTCATAAAAAATCCATGATGTCTTGCCCTTTGCCCCTCTTCTCTGGGGCGTTTTTGCTGCTACAGTCAGAAACCAAAACCAGTTTTATTCTGCCTCAGTGAAGGAAAGTTTGAAGAAACATGGCCGCCGTTAGAAAGACTCCTGGTGAAGAGGTGGAGAAATCCAGCTTTTACTCTGAGAATATTTATTTAGATGAGAAAAAATTAAACTTTATTCAATAAGAAAAACCGTAAACCCTAAATTACTCATTCAAAAGCAACAGAACTAAATATTTCTAGTCATTTTTAGGTCATTCTTTACTTTCTCTTTGGTTCAGGTAAAAATACTTGACACCTGAATCAACTTGTGCTATCTAACCTTTCCTGTCCTACCATCACAAACGTAACAGAACTCAGACTTTAATGCAACGTTTCACTGAGCTGTTTGTTTCTGTCAAAGCAAGAATCGTCACAAAATCAAAGCAAGATGAATAAATCATAGGGAGCTGAACACTGAGGTGTATGGAAGGCCAAAAGGGACAACATTAAATAAATGTCTTGAAATAAATAAATATCACATTAAATAGTATACCTTTTAATCATTTTTGTCAAAGAAAATAATTTAAAAATGCATAAAATTATTGGACTCTGTATTTAGTTTGAAATGTATGGAAGAATATTAGGGCCACTAAAGGAAAATAAAAGAAATTCTGACTGTTTTCCTCAGAATCAGAAATGTTTAAATTGTTTGTGCACCATCAGGCAAATTTAGTGCTAAAATAAATTTGACAGGCTTTCAGAGGGAATGAAGTTAAGATTTACGAATCTTATAACAAGAAAGAAACGGTTATCTGATTATTTATATATGGTAACAAAAAAATTGACATGTCTAAGAATGTTTGATTATTAGGATTTTGACATAATTGATACAAAATTACAACTCTGCAAAAAATGTTAGAATTTGCAGATTAGAGTCAAAATTTTGAGGAAAAAAAAGTTAAAATTCAGAGAAAAACTTAGGAATTCTGAGATCATAATCAAAATTTTGAGTAAACAAATGTTAGAATTCCACAAAAAAAGTTAGAATTTGGAGATTAGAATCAAAATGCTGAGATTATAGTTGAAATTCAGAGTGAAAAGTAAAAATTCAGAGAAAAGATAGTTTTTTTTTTCTTTCTTTTTGTTGTGGTCCTAAATTTCTACCGTAGAAATCAGGAGGAGGAAATGATTATGTATTTTTTCCTCTGTTTTGTGGATCTCAGGCTGAAAATTTGTGAACCCCTGATGCAGCTCAGTGTCTCACCTACTTAAATACATCTGTGATGCTATGAGTCTTTTTCGCTATCATTTTAGCTTTTCCTTCCACTAAACCTTCCAGGAATAATGTTTAGCTACAATCTGATCTTCAAGATTCCTTACCAGTGATTTATTTCACCTGGATCGGTGTGTTCTGTCAGAACCGGGCCTTTCTGTGGTTTTCTGCAGAGCTAATAGCAGCCCGTTTCCCCTGGAAACGGATAATTACTCCACCTCTGCAGTCCAACAGGAACTGAACGTATGTAATTTCTTAAAGGAAGCATTTCCCTCTGTAGCCTGCAGGGATTAGGCCCTAATGACACAAGTTAATTATATTAAGAGTAATTTTCAAAAACAGTTCATGAACTGCAAATTATACTTAAATTTGCTCCTTAATGCTCTTAACTGTAATTAAATTGCCTAATATCTTAAGAAAATGAACATGTGGGACAGGAGTAATGGTGGACGGGAACTTTTAGGGGTTTTGTGGGTAATGGCGGATAAAATTGGGAATATTCAGTTGCAGATAGATGTCGGGTTCGGACGTCTGGGTTGCAGAAACACTTCGCTGAGCGCCGCCTGTCCGCCGCCATTTTGTCTCAGAGTTTGTAGCGTTTTGCTCTGTAATCAGGCGAATTTATAACTTATTCACCGGCTTTCAGAGCGAAGGCCAGCAGGTTTTCACTGGAAGGTGGAGAAAATCTGCAGAGTTTAGGTTGGTGTTGTGTTTCTGCAGATCAAAAAGTATTATTCAATCAGCGCTGGTATGTTGTTGGCCCACTTACAGCAGCTTTTTTTTTTTTTTTTTTTTTTTTTCCTTTTAAAAATTTTTTGGGGCTTTTCGGGGCCTTCCTTTTTGTCAACC